ATCAGAAGAGCTTTGCCGAAAAGGATCTTGAATGCGGGCTGACACATCCAGCCACCTGCAGGCTCGAATCAGCCGAACAGCCGCAGAAGGCCCTTGGCGAGGCATTGTCCAAGAACAAGCGAGGACAGATTGAAATCGCAAACTCTCCCTCATTTAAAAAAGAAAGAAAAAAAGCCAAAAACAGCCGAGTGGTGGTTTTATTGTCAAGCCAGCAAAGTTGGAACCAGCCCAAGTAAGAGTCTGTTTCTCCCCCCCTCCCCTCTCCCCAAGAACCCATCGTCACTGGAGAGTGGATGCTGCAGAAGGCAGCCACCCATCCCACCCCTGGGGCAATCCTGCTCCCTGAAATGCCAAGGACATCTCCTTTTTTTTTCCAGAAAGGTTGACTGATAAAGCAAAGGTACCTGCGGGTGGGAATCGGGCCAATTTCCAGGAAGGGCCGTCACCCAACCCACCAAGCCAGGCACCATCCAAATACATTGGAAGCCACCCACTGATTAAGGGTCGTGTGCTTCCCCAAGACTACACGAATGCAAGAGTGGCCAACGCCTTCTATTGGACCCCTAGAAAATCAAGTAAGTCATGGAAGAAATCCGCTTCTCAGCGGTGAAAAATGAAACTTTCTGAATTCAGAAGCACCCCGAGGTCAAGGGGCTGGCAAAGCACGTCTGCCAGGAGACTACCACTTCCGGTGTCTTTAGCCCCTGGCTAGGCTGGCTGGCGTTGATGGGGTTTGTAGTCCAATAGCATCTAACAGGAAGCATTGCACCCATCTGTGGCTCCAGAGTTAAGAGCAACGAAGGCGTTCGATCTGAAACGGTGTGTCTACGGGAGAGGAGGAAGGGGTGTCTGTTTTGAAGACCAGAGTCCACCCTCGGGCAGGTTTTACTCCAATTACTCCAGAGCTGGCCCGCTCTAATTAGCTGCTCGGGTGGTTGGGTGCTACTTCTAGCTGCATCACCCTTGTGAAAACGAGGTTTGAAATCTGGAATGCCAGCAAACCCTTGCTGATCTTCCTACTTATAAAAGGGGTAACTTCAACTCAGCACTGTTTTATGCGGGCCTTTGAAGCCCCAAATATCTTTCTCCTTCCTTCCCTCCCACTCTCCACCCTCCACATCCACAGAATCTCCACGGACCTCAACAGGCTACGAATCCATTCCATCACCCCTCTGTCCCAATTTGGCAAGCGAGGGAGGGGGAGGCGAGAGAAGAGCTGAGCAAGTTTCCATTGCATGAAGGCTGCAAGAAAGTTAATTAGCCTCTAATTACAGCACTAATTAACTAAAATACTAATCACCCTGACAAATCATACATTAGTATCGGCAACTGCTTACAGGATTAGCATAATAATGCTTCCCTTTGCTTTACTGGGGGGGAAAGCTGGCATTAATAACCATCTGCAGTCCCCATTCATATCTTCCTTTTATCTGTTTGGAAGAAGAGTGGGCAGCGGGAGAGGGAGGGTTTGGGGCGAGGGGGGGCCTTTGGTAGCTCTTGAGTAGGCTTTGAATGTTGCAGATGGGGGGGGAGACCCTAGGAGGGCCCATCTTGATTGCAGAAGAGAAAGGATGCAACCCCCCCCCACGGGCTAGGAAGGGGCCACTAGGAGGCCGATGGTCAGGGTGCAGAAAACTGGGGTGTCTGGCATGAGAACAGCTTGTTTTCTGTGCAGCCTGGCCTTTGAACATTCTGAATTGCGAGGGGATAGCGGTGCATGGGACTGCACTCTTGCATGCTTGTGCAACGGGTTATTTATTTTTATTATCTATTTGTTTTATTTATAGGCCACCTTTTCCCCATAAGGGGACCCAAGAGGGCTAACACAATATGAAAAGAACAGAATCAAAAGCATAATAAGTTAAACATTTAAAAAAAAACAATTCAACTGTCCAGTAATTAAAATATGATTAAATAAGTAAAAGCAAGTAAACATTTAAAAGTATCTTCACTTTAAAAAAGACATTCAGAGATGCGTTAAAAAGCCTGCCTGGTTGCGTCACCCTTGGCACACAGCACAAGCACAATCACCAAAAGTGCGTCAGATCCTACATCAACACCATCGTTTGAGCAGAACAGGCCTTCTGCTGATGCCAGGATGTGACGGACGCAGGCCCTTTTTCCTTAAATCAAACCCCAAAGTCCTCGTTGTTGCCTTTTGCACACCAGAGACACCGTTGTGTGCTTTATGGCAACAACTGCAGGCTCTGCCTGGCCACGTCATTCACCGTGAACCTTGCACGAGAAGGCCTGGGACTCTCTCACCTGAGGATGTAGTTCACCCAAACCATGTTCTTCTCGCTTGGGTTCTTGACATTGACCGAGATGGTGGCGCAGGACTGGACCCACACGAAGCCCCCGTTCTTCTGCAGCCAGCGGTAATACCGGGTCACCACCTGCCCCTTGTTTAACACTAAAGGAGGTATGGGAGGAAGGAGAAGAGGTGTAAATATGATTTTTTAAAAAAATGATATTAAACTAGTCCATTGGCTCCCTGGGCATCCCTCACCCTTGTATGTCACATTCATTAAAGGACCCTGATTATTGCTTGGGGCTTTTATTTATTTATTTTAATGAAAGCCAACCTCTCTCGACAGCCTGGAATCGCACAGCCCAGGAAACAGTGCAAACCAGCTGAGAGGCTGCTTCTTTGCAAGTCTTGGTCTCGACAGAAAAGAATCGCTGAAAGGGCAGAGCTGGGGTGACAGACAGTGGGAGGAGCTGAAAGGGGGGGCCTTCGGAAGAAGCAGGTGGATAAAACTGGAGCAAGGGGGTCAGTGAGACAAGGAGATTAAAGGGGACCAGACCGATAGGCAGAGCTTGGAAATGTGACTTTCCCAGCTGGAGCTGTCAGAAGAATCCATGCTTGGAGGGGGACGCTTGGAGGAATTCCATTAGGGGGTGGTTGGGTGGGAGAATGGGTGGCAAATGTCCATATGCATTCACGGCCATCACCTTTTGGAGCCAAAGGAAGCGCATCTAGACATCCATCGTTCTCAAGCCGCAGAAGTCTCCCAACAGGCATTAGCCTTGATGGCTTAGTGAGCCTCCATGCACAGGAGCAGTCAACCAGAACACTGAGAACCAGAACTCGGGGGTCCCTTTTCAAACTATTTCCGAAGAGGCAGCTAGGTTAGTTTGCCTCAGCATGTTGGCAAAAGGGAACAAAGGTGTGGGAGGGGGAGGAAAGAGGCAAAATATAGTGGTAAAAGTGAAAGCCTTTTGAATGGAACAAAATTTTGCCTCTTTTTTTCTCCCCTTTTCTTTAGCCAAGCCTGGCTGTGGGCAATCTGGCAGCTGCAACTCCAGAGATTTGTGAGGACTCTGAAAAGCGGACGGCTCTCTGGTGTGAACCGGCAAGATGCTCAGTCCTGGACACCCAAACCCCCCCCCACTCCCGCCAGGCCAACGTACAGTCCAGATGGCTCTGTCGGATTCCCTCCACGTCCTCGCCATGAATAAACCAGTAGCAGCTCTTGCCCACCAGCTCCGAGGGGCACAGGTCCATATAATCGCTGATCCTGAAAGAGAGGAAGGCCAAGGCAAGTTATGAGCGAGGCCGGTAAGGAGACGGAGCAGAAAGGCAGGATGACTTAAGAAGACGCCAGCTGCCTCCCTCACCTTGAAAGGAGAAGACCACATGGAAAAATTTTCAGGAGCCACCCCCAGACTATGGAACGTCATCCCAAGTGAGATTCATCTAGCGCCGACATGGATGATGTTTGTTTATTTTATTTTATTTATATCCCGCCTATCTGTTCTTACGACCACTCTAGGCGGCTTCCAGACACATAAAAACAACATATAAGTGTAACAAGTGTTTTGGCGCCAGGTCAAAAACTTCCTGTTCCAGAAGATGTTTTAGTTGAAATAATGTCAACTGTGGGTCCTGATGGCAACTTCAGAGTACTGTATAATTAATTATATTTTAGTTATATTATCTTTTCATTGTATTTAAATTGTTGTAAGCCACCCAGAGACCTTTGGGTAGTGTGGGCGGCATGTAAGTTAAATAATAAATAAATAAAATGCTTATATCCGCTCCAGGTACTCTGTAGAGTTTGGTGTCTCTGAGTTGCATTTCCTGTTTCCTGTTGCATGCAGCTTATGGGGTCATTGTGGACTTCTGACACTGTCTCAGTCTGGCCCACCTGGCAGGCTTGTTGTTAGACTAAAGCAGGGGGAACAGAACCACGTGTGTTGCCTTGAGCTCATTAAAGGCCAAACCAGAGAACAGGTCTAAGAAATGAATGGATGGATGAACGGACAGAGATTTCAGGTGCCCAGAGACCCACCTGCGCATTGCCCCGCTCCCCAAAAAGAGGCCCCAGGCCGGCCAGACCAACCCTCAACCCACCTGCTCTCGCAGTACATGATCTGCAAATCCATGTTGACCCGGAAGACAAACATGTGGCACTCAATGCGCACCTCGCTGAGGGTGGACGGGGGAAGGGTGTGGGCCAGCGCCACCAGCCCCATCGCGCGGCCCGGCCCCGCGTGGGTGTGGGAGAAGGACGGCAGCCGAGGGCGGAGGCGGCCGGTGATGTGTATCACCTGTAGAGGGGGAAGAGGAGGAGGAGGAAGAGCGCAAGAATCAGGACAGTGGGAGGAGAGACAAAAGGCTCCAAACTCTTCTACATTTCCCGCATTGCAACCCCTTTTTCAAGCCAGACGGTCCTGCTGGTCGTACTCAAAAATCTAGATGGGGCAAGGAAAAAGGGACAGGGTTTCCCGGGGGGGGGGGAGGATGCTCAGCCAGGTTGCTGCTTTACCTTATAGCCAGACGTCTTCACGTGAAGCCCCCGCTTGGTCAAGGTGGATTTGAGGCGGATGAAGAAGGAGCGTTCGGGGGCCTCTCCCTCTGCCGCCCGGGAGCCCGACAGATCTAGGAGACAACGGGCGGTGAAATGCCACACTTGTCAGGATGAGAGACTGTTCTTAGCAAAAGGAGGACTCCCCAAGACGGGAAATGTGGCCACGCCTGGTTGTGTGTGTGTGCATATACAAATATACTGTATATAATTTCAAACACACTTTAATGGGATCTATCTCGACAGCAATGAATCTGTCAAAGGATTCAAGGGGGGGGGGGTATCAAAACTCTGTGGGAAAAAATGATTCTGTTGTCTTGCAGTTGAGAAAGAGTTAATTTCATCTTCCTGTTTTTACTCTTTTACCAGAGGCTGGACATTATATATCTTGACTTTCGACAGAGGTAGTTTCCCAAATAGTTCAGTTAAAAAGTCTTTACCAGAACAAAATAAATACATTATATATCTTGACTTTCGACAGAGGTTGTTTCCCAAATTGTTCAGTTAAAAAGTCTTCCCCTTTCCTGTGCTTCTTTTTTGACTTATTTTACTTCAAATGACCTGGTATAAGGACCTGGGCTTTTTATTTCTCGATATGGAGCTGAAGCATTCCCATTTCCTGTATGCCCTATGTTTTATGAGTTCTCCTCCTTTCTTTATTCCCTTCCTCGCCTTCTCAATCCAAGAAAATCTTAGCCATTTATCCGGGATAAAGCCACATCTCCCATACTTGTCTTATCTTTACCGTAGCCTCTCCTGAAGTCCACAGTTCCTTGCCAGACGTTAGAATCGGCTACGCATGGCATCATACAAGGTGTGTATTTACAACACTCATTTTCCATTTTTGCTGGGCATGACAACCTTCGACTCAGAGAGGCTGCCCTGGATCCTCTCCATTCTGATTCTGATCTATTCTGACATTTTACCAGAACAGAATAAACCATAATTCCAGTTGCAATGCTGATTCAAATCATTGCAAGCTCGTGCTGGCATAGCCAAAGGGGTAGCCACCACCATGCCCGAGAAAGACCTAAACCTAGACACTTCAGAGTTGCCCGAGGTTTGCATGTGGCTTAAAAATATCTCTAGAACAAAGCTCTAAAGAGTATTGGGGCAGGGGGTACACCTCAAGCAGCCCTCCTATAATTGATCAGTGTGAGATGTTGGTTGATTGAACAAGAGGGCAAGGAACCCCCCTGGCAATGGGGTTTGGGGTGGAGGGACGGAGGAGTGGCTGAAAAGAGAAGACAGGGTCCACATTTCCATCTCAATGAGACCAGACTTTTGTCTGGATGGGTCAGTTCCTGGGTCACGCTGAGAAGCTATTTAGAAGGGCCCCAGGAACAGATCAGGGAGCAGCCCAGAAACAAACAGGGGAGAGGGAGGGGGAGGGACAGAGAGGGAGGGATAGAGAGTGCACTATTGTTTGGGTGGGGGGTTGTAACAGGAAAATGGGGAAGGGAGAAAAAACGGACTGAAAGGCATCTATGCTGCAACATTTTGCTGCAGTGCTGTACTGGTTTATTTGTATTTTATATGAGCATTCTGCAGCTTTTCTTTTCTTTTTTCCTTGGGAGACCTGTTTTAGTGTTTTGTTTTGTTTTTTGGCTCTTTATAAATGGGTTGACCACTGGAGAAAAAGAGATCCTCCTGGTCCAGAAGCAGTCTACCCTTGAAGGCCAAGCAGTCTGGACACACTACACGGGGGGGATCCAGATTTTTCTTCCTCATCCTGCTTCCCAAATGTATACATTCCACCCGTTTTGGGAACGGGACACTGAAAACATGGGGGTACCCAAAGCTGGGGGCAGGGAAAAATCAGCTTTTCTGCACTGCAGTTCCTGGCAGACAGACTGACCGGGAGTCTCTGCAAGTCGTAGGGGAGATAAAAGTAACTTTTCCAAATTCTAGGTGGACTCTTGGTCTAGCTGGCCAGCTGGGCTTTTTCTATCTTCTTCTGAGAACACACTCAGGGCAGAATGCTGATCTTATATTCTCTTTTACTTTCCGTCTCGGTATAAATCTTTCAGGAGCTCCCCAGATAAAAGCCGAGCGGGCCGATCTCAAATGAGCAGCCCGGCGACTCGTGATTCCCTTTTATTCTGCAACCCTCCATGCCCTTTGCTCGCCCAGGTGGGAAGAAGCGGGAACGCAGCAGCCCGCCACCCCGACAGCAATCCTCCGATCCATAGGTCAGATTCGACAGCAAGGGCTGATGGAGATGGTGAAGCTCCCTTCTTCACTTGGAAGGCTACAAAAATCCCTGGGATGTAAATAACGAACATCCAAAAGGGAGGGACTCCCAAGTCAGGTGTGCACCGGATCAAGGCAGAGCCAGAGCAGGGCCGCCTTGAGTTTGAGACGTACAGTGATCTTCCCCATTTGGGTTCCTCTTCATCCTGATAATTCACACCCCTCTGCTCTTCTCCTGCTCTTGAATCTTTCTCTCACCTCCCTGTCTTTAATACCGCGAACACACCTCAGTGAAACACAGGCTGGGATTCCTCTGGGCAGAGCCCTGTGTCATCGTGTTGTCTGCCTGCTTCCTGGCTTGCTGTCTTTACGTCTTGTGCCCAGTGAGTTCAGAGAGAGAGACACTCATGGCTCTCTGTTCACTGCCTGTTCAACCCCGTTAACTTCACCACATCCACCCCTCTTGTTTGGGAAAAGCAACCCACCTGCCCATTTAAAATTACATTTGCTGTTCCCGAAAGGGTGCAAGCAAATTATCCTGCATTTTCACTGCTTTTCCCCCCAGAGGAATTAAGATTGAATCTCCCCATCACTGTGGTTGGCTTTGCTCTGTCTCTGCAGGCCTGCGGACGAGAGCATCTCTGGCCATGTGCAGAGATCTCATTGCTCACGACTCACCTGCAGCTTCCAGGGTGACAAGACTGGGTTTGCATTTTGCCCATTTCTAGGCATCTTTAAACACAGACAGTTAAGCCTCGCTACCTGCAGGTCACCAAAGATCCCTACCCGGTTCAGAGGCTTCGGGCAGCCCAGAGGAAGCGGCGCCAGCGGCCAGAGCGGACGCTTTCTGGCGAACTGGTTGAGACGCCTCGGAGGGTGCCTTCAAGCCCAGCTGCTCGGAGACCTCCAGGTGGTCTCCAGGGTGGACGTAGTCAAAGATGCTGCTTCCGGTCAGCTCCACCTGGAGGAGAACAAAACCAAGACGGGGGCATCAAGGTCAGCAACCACCTCATTAAGGAGCAGGCATCGGCCACCACGACGTATGTGAGTTCCCTTACCCCAGTGTAAACCAGCCCTAAGATTCTGGCTATCATTTTGGATGCCCTGAATTCCAACAGCCACCTGGGCATGGGGTCAAGCTAAGTAACCAGGGGTGCCAACAGAAGAGGAAGGAAGGACCAAGGAGCACTAGAGAGCCAGAGAGAATTGAAGCCAGAGACGATGGAGAGGTTGGAGAAGCCAAGACCCTGAAGGCCGGAGGCTGAGTCCAACACCGGGGGCCACACTTCACACCCCCTGAGCCAAGTTACTGCATGGGGCAGCACTCAGATGTGGAAGACAGAAGACTAAAAGTTGACTTCCAGGGCCTGTTGGAACAGGAGGTCTGCTAGGAGCTCTCCCGGGTGCTGAAAGATGGCTCACCGTCACTCTTGCAAGCCATTTCGTCATCCCACCCACCTCCCCCCCCTGTCCTGAATATGTGATTTGTGTATGTTGGTCAGTTCTTCAAAATCGAATCCAAACCACCAGGACAACAGCTGTCCTGGCCGCATTCATGGCAAACAGCAAACCACCGGCTGAGGAGGGGTTTGAAGCCATACCCCCACCCCCCGCATAGGCGTCTTGCAGCCGGCAGCTATTTCCACCAAAGAAGCTACACCCAGCCCTCAACAGCAGCCTTGAGACTTTGGGACTTCAATGGAAACACATAACTTTGGAGCAACCCACAAGGACTGGGTGCACAGCCTGAAGAAGATGATTTATCACTGAAAGCTCCCCGTTTGCTTTTGCTTTTTCGTTTTATTTATTTAGTGGTCCCTTGATGGCATCACCTGTTCCTGCACTTGTATACCCAGAACCTGGTTTCCTGTTGATCTCCCAACCCACTTACTCAGCACATATGCTCCCCAGGAGTTTCCCATCCAGGTTTCCAAAACCATATTCCAGTATTTCCTGCATAAATAATGCAGCAGCAGGGCTGAACATGTACATCAGACTGTGTGCAGCACTTCAGCTTCTCTGCTGGTTTCAATTATTTTCTCCTTCGTTGTGATTTTAGTTGATTTCAGTTCATTCTTTCCTGCCCAATTTTTTTTCCTTCCAACATTTCTTCCCTTCACTTTAAAAAAAGAGCTGATGGTAATTTGTCAAGCAAGTTCTTCTTCTTCTTCGTCATCGTCATCGTCATCGTCATCATCATCGTCATCATCCAGAGGTAGCCCCACATGGCCATGACCTCCACACCCCTCTGCCGGTGGACCCCGCAGCCCCTCATTAGCATGCAGACAGCTGGGGAGCTGCCTCGCCTGATTTGAATAGGAAAGGTCAATCCTTCAGGTTAACATTTCTCACACCGTAATGAAGGGTGGGGGAGTGGAGATCAATAAATAATAATGCAGAGGTATTGGCTTCCTTTCACAGAGGGTCAGGTGCATTTAAAGGAGCTGGTCCTCATTAAAAATGCACCAGCAACACGCAGTTTGGCTGGAGGAGTTGAGAAAGAGGAAGGAAGGAGCTGACGAAAGAAAGAAAGAAAGAAAGAAAGAAAGAAAGAAAGAAAGAAAGAAAGAAAGAAAGAAAGAAAGAAAGAAAGAAAGAAAGAAAGAAGGGAGGGAGGGAGGGAGGGAGTCTGGGCAAAAAGATTTACTTCCCCTATCACTACCGAGCACCACAGTCAGTGCTTGGAAATGCTAGTATGGATTCCAATTCCCATAACCTCCCATAGTGAGTTATAACTAAATTTTCCAAGCACGAAAACACAGAAAACGACCTTATCAGATGCATAAACAGAGGAACTCATTTATCCCAAAGCCAGATCATTCCTGTCTACCCGGACGAGTTGCAACCCAGGAAGGATCGATCTTCAAAATGCCCTGTCCTCCACAGCCCTGCTCAGCTCTTGCAGATTCAACCCTCTGGCTTCCTTGAGGGATTCAGTCCATCTCGTATTGGGGTCTTCCTCTTTTCCTGCTGCCTTCCACTTTTCCCAGCCTTATGGTCTTCTCCAGGGAATCCCGCCTTCTCATGATGTTCCCAAAGCTGGACCGTCTCAGCTTCAACATTTTTATCTCCAGAGAGAGTTCAGGCTTGACCTGCTCTAGGACCCCCCTCTTTTTTTTTCTTTTTCTTTCCGGCATTCTCTGGGTTAATGTCACAATATAAATCCCAAATGCAGGCAAGTTCTGAGCCTGTGTCAACCCTACCATCTCTGTTTGGCTGGCTTTCTCGGGGTGTCCCCTCCGTTCTGATCCAGCTGAAAAGCGGGGGGGCTGCTCCTCTCTTTTCCTTTTCAAGCTGGTCTCTGCTCCCCAAGGCCCCTCTTTTACAAAACCAAGCGCTTTCAACCTTTACTCCGGCAAAGATTCCAGACCTGGAGCAAACCCCAGGCAAGGAGAAAGCAGCCTTTGATTCAGCATTAAATCGAGATGCGGAAGACCTTGCCTCAGGCCTTAGGAGGCAGAGGGGGGGGGATGGTGTGAGGGGGGGAATAAGAGGAGAGCTGGGAGGGTGAGGGGGGGTGAGGGTATACAGGGATCCCAGCATCCGTTTCCAGCAGGACTGCAGTGCAATTCCCTCTTCCCAGATCTGGAGCTGAGCCAGTTTTGGGGGGGGGGTCCCTTAACACTTCCATCTCATTGAAGTCCTCTTTCAAACACAGTTCAGGCTCACACAAGGTTCTTCCTCATGATCTCTGCGGCCTCCCTTCCTCCACCTTCCTGCTTATTATCCTTATCTTCCTTTCTTTCACTCCCCCTCCTTGCATCCTCCCCCTCTCTCTAGTCAGCACAGGAACATGGCGACTTTATCCTGACTTAGATCCACCATCCATCCAGCCTGGCATACTTGACCCTGGGTGGCATCACCATCTCTTCTGGGCTAAATTTCAGGCCGGAGTTTCTCCTAGCTTTATCAGGAGATCCCTGGGATTCCCTTGGGGAGGGGGGTCTCCTGCCCAGGCAAAAACTGGGCCCAATGCTGTTTCGGCTTTCACAGGCAGGCAGGAGGAAATGCACACCGAAGGGTAGGAAAGTGTGACTTTAAAAACAACGGCACTGCAAGGTGGGCCAAATTGAGGTGGTCCAGTTAGCTCTTTTGCTCCTCTTTTCGGATACCAGCAAGGAAGAAGGAGGTATACTTGCATCCACCCAGCAAAGTCTGTTGCCACCTTCGGTAGCCCAGGCATGACGCCGTGAGCGCCCGAGAAGCTAAGTGGCAAGCCAACAGGATTTCAAAACAAACACAAAGCCATAGCTTTGGAAAGTTCCTTTTCTTGACTGGGACGCCCAGAATCCCTCTCTGGGCGACGGGATTCTGGAACCCGGTGCTAAAAAGCGACTTCTCTCAGCTGAGGTCAGAGATGCTATTGTGCAAGTCACCATTCAAGAAAGTAACTTTTCCAACAGAGAGTCCATCCTGTAATTATCTGTAGCCCTCCCTTCTTCCATGGAATTGGAACCATCAAAGGTAGTGGCATGTCTGTCTCTTGTGGCAGTGAGTTCCACAAGATGACTGCATAGCATCTGAAGTCAGAAATCTCCTGCTAAGGAAGGGTTTTTTTGGGGGGAGGGGTAATGTCAAATTCTGTGTGGCAGAGGGGAGGGGAGGAAGGGCAGGAGGAAAAGCGGAATCTAATATATGTCTTTCCACCTTCAGCACAGAAATGAATGGGTAACAGAGCCTTTCCACGTATCTCAGTCCCCCAGAACCACCCTGCAAATCCTCCCTAGATCTTGCAGGCAGGATGAAAGGGGAGGTTTAATCCAGACAAGACCTACTGGAAACCAGAAAAACCTGCCACGGGTAGATTTGATTTGGACTCATAAAATCAAATACTAGGGGACTATCTTCCAGGGAAAGCAGCTAGAACAGCCACAGCTGGTCTTCTCAAAGGCTGACGCTCTTGCTGCCGTGCTCTGCCAGGAAGGAGGCAACCAGGAGCTGAAGCATCCTTTGGACTCTGCAACTTGCCTCTGAACTCCGGGCCCTCTAATTTTCCTGCCTGCGGAGGAGGGGGCGGGGAGGAAAACTGGAATCCAGATACCGCTCCCCTTCCCCACCCCTCGCTCTTCGCTCCCATCCATCGACCCGCAGCTCCAAAGGAAGAAGGCCGATCATCAATTATCAGACAAAGCATGCTCAAGGTCTTCATTTGTAGCGGAGATAATTGCCACAATTAATTATTCATGCCGGCAAGGGCCTCAAGCGAGAGGAAGAACAGGCGTGCTGAAAATAAGGCCGACAACGAGGAGGATGACGATGACGATGATGATGCTCTCCCCCAGCAAGTGTGGGCAGGAGAGATGAAGCACAGTGAGCCTTCCTCACTGGGCAGGGAAAATCATGGCTTGTCAGAGATTAACTGCTGGAAAGTTTCCTGAAACATGCTTTTGCAGCCAAAAGGAAAGAAGAATCCTGTGGAATTCAGAAGCTTGCGCCCTTCAGTTTAACTCAGGTCTTTTTCCTTTTTCCAAGAAGGGGTCCAGGATACACTTGCCACTCCTCAGAAGCATACCCTCTCCTGGGGTCCCAGTTAACCACATTGCAAGGGGCTGCCCAGAAGGTGGTGTAGAGATATATTAAATAAATAAATAAATAAAAAGACATGTGACCTCTAAAAGATATTTCTGGAGAGGCAGCTGCTTACCCATCAACCTCCAAGTCCTCCCGCTGCCATTTTTATCGAGGCAGTTCATTGCAAGACAGAGAGGCCCGAATCCACCCACAGGCCACTCATGTCCAGTTTGGGTGTGGGGAGGTTCCACAGAAAGTTGACAATTATTATCCATTTGTTTATTTATAAGACTAAATCTTGGCCACATCTTGGTCCCAAGGGAAGCCTGAGAGTGTCTGCAAACAGGATTGTTCAATTCGCACTGGTAACCGATTTTTTTTTTAAAAACCCAATTTTTAAAAAAGTAGGTGGATGGGGGGAAATAACACCCAACCTGGTAGCCTAAGGAATAGAGGCACGTGGGCTCTAATCCTGCCTGTGCTCACAGCTAGCAATTCCACCAAGCAGCTCTTCCCCCAACCTGCCTGCAGTGGATGATGGGATAAGGAGTCCCAACATGCTGGGAAGCTGTGTGTTTGGCGCAACAGTGGAAGGAAAGAGGCCCTGAAGATCGCAATAAGACCATCCTTTGCTCTCCCAAATGAGAGTGTGGTACCAAGAGCGAGTGGACGAGGATCTGCCGCTGTTCCAGCAGTCAACGGTAGGTTCTGCCTGTCTTTCATCCACACTGGCTCCCTTCTTTTGCAGCACATCCCCTACCAAACAGATTTCTAACCTCTGATCTCAGATCTCTAAGCTGGGGGAGAAAGTCAGCTGCCTGGCAGAGCTGGACAAAGACAGGTCCCCTTCCTCATGAGGACGACACACCTTCGTTCTGGGAAACCTGCCGAAGCTGCTGGAGAGGCACTGGGAGGTGATCTGAACCCAACCACAAGCCAAGCCCCACACCTTCCTTCCCGTAGAGGCTACAGGGGCTGCAGGTCGTGAAGCAATCTCTAGATCACCCTGCTTCTCCTTTGCAAACGTGGCAGCCCATCCTCTCGCCTGGGCTCAGCGCAGCCCGCGCTGGATGCATTACGGATGCGCTGTGCATCTGGCTGGATGAGTGGGGAGCTCTCTCTCTCTCTCTCTCTCTCTTTTTGGTCTGGGCTGTGCATGCATTATTCACATTTTAGTACACAGCTCACACAATTCCTACCTGCGAGAGCCCAAGGTAAATAGACACCGTCTCGGAGATGTAAAGGAATTTTCCCTCTTGGTTCAGTGCGAAAACAAACCCGTCCAGGGACTGAGGAGAGAAAAGAACAGAAAGAAAGAAAAATATACATACATATTTCAAATAACACAGGTCATTTCTTCTGCCAAGCAAGGGGGAGAGGAGGCAAAGAAGGGAGTCATAGAAAGACAGCAAAGTCTTACTTCAAAATGTGTGGGTTATTTTGTCACGACGAGAAACCCTGTCCCAAATCAAACCGAGGGAGACCTACGTCTGCCCCCAAAGTCCAAAAGCACCCACAAGACAGGTCAAGAAGCTTTAAACGAGTTACTGAACACAAGCATTCACAGCAAGTTGAGCACAACCGTCTGGTTCCTGAATTGGAGGGGCTGAGGGTTAGCATCATCACACACTCCCATCATCCTTGGAATCACCCTTAACGTCTCCTTGGTGCCTGATGCCTATCACCTCCTTCTGTCCCACCAAGACGTGCACAAGCCAGTCTTTGTTTCCATCCAGGACGGAATTACTTTGGCTGATTGAATGGTTATCCATTTTCACATTTAAAGGACAAGAAAATCCTGTCTCTAGGGTTGTACAACATACAGATTTATTTATTAAGTTTAGATCAATGGAACTAAAGCAGAAAGCCTTTATCTCTCTCTTTCACCCCCCAATTAAATTGATTAACATTCTCATATATATATATTTAAATATATGCCCTGGAAACTAGAGAAGTATCAATCTGTCTCTTTTATTTTCTTCTTTTTATTTATTTATTTTACTTTATTTCAAAACACACTTTATCCCATTTCCACACTAGAATTGGGGGAGGGGGGAAATCAAGGAATAATGTACATGGAAATTCATTGTTCTTAATCTATGCACATTTATACTCCGTTTTCTCTGTCAACCCAGAGAATAAGAACCAAGTCACTTTATTGGTGTGTGAATAATAATCCCTAGTCACTTTTAAAAGTTACATTTAAAGGACATTTTGACAGGAGGTGTTTTGCCAGGAAACCTAAGTTTCTAAACCATGAGAAACTACAGAAGATAGTACTGGAGATCAGCTTCTCACAAATTTCAGCTTCTGTCTAAAACAGCATGCATGTTTCTAGACCTCAGGGTGGCAAAGATATGCTTGAACAAAAGATAGACAAATGACCGCAGATGAAATCCTGAAGCCAGAGGCCAAGTCACACGGCCTCTTGTTCACCGGTGGGAAGGAATGGCGGTTCAGCTTTTTGCACACCTTTGAGGCCGCCACCACGACTAACAGGAACAAAACAAAATGTATGCACAAACACAAGAGCAGATAATACCTTTATTAAAACCATCAAGAAAAAATAAAAATAAAGCAAGGTTTCGGTGATAATTCATCTTCCTTATTGCATCCACTTCCCGTGGGTAGCTCCAAAATTATATCCTTTTATTAAAGTCACAGAAACTGAGGGCCAATGGAAAGGTCATGTTTAGCTTCTTAGATGCGAACAGTTGCAGATTATTTGTCTTGTTTTGAAGACCATGCCGTCTTGTCCTGATTTTTCCAAATATTTATGTGAATTCCTTTAAAAAACAAAATCTTAACCTAATTTCCAAAAGAAGGATTCCAAAGCATCGTGCACCACTGTGGCTGGTCAGAAATTTAGCAGAATTTTGAGACAGAGGTTTGTGATGGGGAGTGCCCCTCACACCACACACCCCCGTTTAAGGTAAATCCATGAGCATCTCCCATTCCAAACATCAGCCTTTGGTGACAGAAAGATGCTTGCAGCCGGGCTCTGCCTTGCCCTTCTTCCTAACAAGATTTGTCCTGTTCAAAGCTGGATTTCAAGAGGCTGGCTTTGAACCACGTCTGAAAGCCGCTCTGGAAAGGGCTCCAGGAAACATCTGCTCTGAAAGGCTGGAGCCTCTGGAAACATCCAAAAATGGAAAGAGAAAAGGAGAAATACGTTCCCAGAAAAGACCTGCTTGCAGGTATGGGAACAGACAGGTAGGGAAAGAGGGCAGACTTCCAGCTATTTCTCGAGGAGACCGAGGTAAGGATGAAGCAGGAGAAGGAGGCTGAGGAGCCACAGCCAAACTCTCCATCCGAAAACCGTTCCAGGAAACAGGAAGCTGTTTTTCTGATGGGGAGGAGAGGGGGAGATGCAGGATGGAAACCTGGGATGTCCTTTTGAATCCTACCATGGCAAAGCGTATTGAGTGCCAAGAAATGCCGGCTTTCGGTGCCAAGCCAGATTGCTTCAGCTGGGGGGACAGTGCTCTCCCCTCCTCGGTAAGCAGCTTTGGAGAAGTTATGAAATCCGATGCAGAGCAGCAGAGGAGGGGAGGAGAGGATGCTTGTCTGGCTGCAGGGGCTCCGGCGTCCTGCCACGACCCCGAAGTGAACGTCCTGTGGGGTGTTGTGTTTTTTTGCAAAAGCTGGGCACAAATTCCTGTTGGCTCCCGGCAAGGAAGGCCGGACACCACAGGGTCTTCGCCTCTTAAGAAGAGGCTTTAGCAAGAGGTGATGATGAGCTGAAAACCTCCATGTTCCAAACCATGGCACCTCTCCGTACCATTGGAGACCGAAAGCTGTCGCTCTCATTTTCTGCTCTTGTTTTTCCCCGTGTGTGTGTTGCTACTGTACAATGCAGGAGGGGACCCCGCAGCTTCAGAAAATAAATACGTAAAGAGGCATTGCCTGATTTCTGGGATTCCAACTCTCTGTGAACACGCTAGCTTGCAGATTCTAGGCACTGTGTTGCAGTGAAGTTATTTTTCCAGGATCTGGACAGGATTAGGCCAGGACTGAATAGGCCCTTTCGTCTCATGGCCCCTTGGCTCTTATTTCGTCAACGCGTTTGCAGGGGGTGTGAAGGTCCAGCCATCCTCATTCCATTGCCAGAAAGGCAAAAGGTTTCTCCTTCCTGCTGTCATGATGGCCCAACTCACTCAGAGGAAAGGAACCATGAAGGACACTCTTCAGTCCAAAGCCCCCCCCAAAAAAAACCCAAAGCTCTCTGTAACCATTTGCCTCCTCACAGAAAGACACAGGATCTCCCCACAGCTTTCCCTTCCCTCTCCTGCACACCCTCGGCTTGTCTGAAAATTCTTTTTCTACTGCTGGTGTGTAGTTGCCCAATTAGGATGTTCAAAAGCGATGGAGGGGAAGGGGAGGGAACTCATCAGAGATTAACAGAACCGACCACCACTTTAACGTTTTGGGCATGTTAATTACTGCTGACAGATAAAATTGCTTTTTTTAAAAAAAATAATAATTTTCAAGCGGTTTCAACGAGATGCTCGGAGGTCACCGCTGAGACAATTAAACGGTTGACACCACATGACAGGGATGTCTCGATGGGGATGAGGGAGGCGGGGAAATGGAAGCCGCCCGACGTTTGTTTATTTGGGTTGCCTTCCCTGCGGCATGCTCGGGACAGGTTAAATTAAGAAAGCAAAGGAAAAGCAGGACCACATTAAAAAGGACACCCACCGCCCACAGGGCATGATGTGGAGAAAGAGAAGGGGAACAGACCTCTCTCTGAGAATAAGAGGAAGAATTGCAAGCCATCAAGTTAGTCCTGCAGGTTCAGGGTTTTCTAGGTGGAGAGCATTCAGAGGTGGTTTCTCCTTCCCTTCTTCTGGGGTGGAGCCCTGGGACTGTGCAGTTTGCCCAAAGCCACTCAGGCTGGCTTTTCTCCCTAAAGGCCCAGTGGGGAATCAAACTCCCAACCTCTGGCTCTGTAGTGAGTGACACAGCCAGCCAGCCAGCCTCCCCCTCTTAAAATACTAGAATTTGGGCCACCTGCAAGAATTAATTGGCCCTAGATATAGACGGATAAGAGAAAAGCCGGTCTTCCCACAGTGCATAATTTACTTGGAGAACTCTTGAGTCACTCATTTCTTGCTTTTGTTGTTCTCATAGCACCATCAAACTACTTCTAACTTCTCTCTGGCTCTATGAATGCATGGCCTCCCCCCTGCCATTTTTGTCTTTTCCAGAGCATCCTGCCTTATCAGGATGTGCCCAAATTTTAGGACAGCCTCAGTTTCAACATTTTTTGATTCCAGAGATAGTCGGGCTTGATTTGATCTAGGACCCACTTATTGCTCAGGAACTCACTGCAAATAAAAAAAAAACACCACACATTACTGGGCAGGAGGTGTGTAAAGATGGAGAACAACATTACTTTGACGGATAAAATCTCGAGCCAGAGTAGTGTTCACTTGCTATTTTTGTTAATTTTTGCTACTCCAAAATATTTTGGGACGTCATTTTGGAGGATCTGGTGAGGGGGGATTTTTTGTTTATTTTTAAATCACACTTAAAGTGTTCTAACACTTTTAGAGTTACATGTCTATTTTGGGACGTCATTTTGGAGGATCTGGCAAGGGTTTTAAAATCACATTTAAAGTGTACTAACACTTTTAGAGTTACATGTTAGCAACATGTTACTAAGAAGCAAAAATATTTTGTTAATCACAGGTAGCAAGCAACAAACCCTTCTTTGCTTTGCTACGAACTCTGAAGTGTTAGCTTTTCAATCATGTTGAAATGATTGAAAATTAGTTACTAGACAGCATCTTAAAAAGCAGAGACATCACCTCAAAGTTAGTTACTACTGCACTTACAGTTTTTACACAGCAATGCTGTGGGGATGTTTTGCAATGCAAAGGTAACTAAAACAGTTACATCTTGCTACTTTTAAAAAAAACCCAGAAGCCTACAAGCTGCTTCAGAATACACTTAAGCAATGAAGCCAAGCACACCCTGTCAGAAACAAAAACAAATTCAATTGCACTGAAAAAAGTGAAGCAGGTCAAGTTACCTCCTTATGCAACTTAGTTATGTCTGAGTTCGTTTCAAAAGGAACAGGGCAGAAGTAACTTCTCTGTAATCTTTGGCCCTGACTGCTTCCAAATGGAGTCCAGCAAACACTTTCACTGCATTTAGAGGATGGAGGGGGGGTGTTTCCTCTTCCTTTCATACAAAAAGCAGCTCCCCCCCCCCGCAAACACATTCACAGCCTCCTGTTCTGCCTCCCAGCTGTTGACACAATCGCCACCACCCGCTCCCCTATTTATTGTCCTACGCAACTCACCAAATCGGATTGTTTCCCAATAAACCTGAATTAGTCCCCAGGAAACAGGCCAGGAGCAGGCAAAAGCTTCTGGGGGAACCGAGAGGGAATATATTTTGGAAAGGAAACGGTCCCACCTGGCCGAGCCGCCCAATCGCATTAAGGTCTCGCCTCACGGCTGTGCTGTTCCCGTCGCCAGCAAAATCAGGTTCACTTTGAGCCGCCGGGTCTTGGCAAAGCCAACAAACCTCACACATGCCCCAGCACAACAGCAGACTGATTTCCAGAAGCCAGAAACATTTGGGAGGGGGGTCCCCAGAATTCCCCCATCCCCAAATGGGAACACAGAGATTATCCAAGGAATCAGTCTGGGCCAGACCTTGTTGCTTCTCCCAGCCTCCTGCCTCTCTTTCCCTGACTCTAGAAAGAACACTCTGTACGTCCTCAGAGGACATTTGTCCTTATGTCTCACTTCCTCCTCCTGGTTCCAACAGCTTGCAAAGGTTTGTTTTCAGGGGGAAAAAACAGCTATATTTCCACCAGCTAGTAAAGTCATGGGCAGTGGTCATGCATAAAAGTTATAACTGCCAACTTTTTCTCATCCTTTCTGGGGGGGTGGGGAAGGCACTCAGGTTCATTGTGATGCTTCCTGAGTTTTCAAAAATACCAAATAAATAAATAAATAAATAAATAAATAAATAAATAAATAAATAAATAAATAAATAAATAAAGAAAAGAAAAGAAAGAAAGAAAGAAAGAAAGAAAGAAAGAAAGAAAGAAAGAAAGAAAGAAAGAAAGGGTGACAGACATGAGCTGGGCAGCCGCTGGCCAGTAGAATTATGGACATCACCCTCAACTCAGCTCTGTGTGGCCAGGATCCAAAGATCCTTTGATTCCAAGTAGCCATGCCTCTCGCCAGCCAATTTCTAATCAGCCACATGGCCTGTGGACTCATTTCATTTCATTTCATTTCATTTGCACATCTATACTGGTCTTTAGTGTTATCACCCTCTGGACGATTCACAACACAATACAATACAGAGGGACTCATGCTCCCAACTTGTCTCCATGGGCTCTCAAAAAGAAGACTGTGTTTCTCACATTGATAGAAAATGTTTTAAAGAGACACACTGAGCTCACAGGGGGGGGTTCAAATTCCCAGAGGTTTGGTGCCAAAAACTAGGGGGTGGGATTTGACTCCTGCCATTCTTGGATGCCTGCAGGAACCACTGTACCATTTTTGCTTTGGACAAGTCAAGGGTGTTCCCCCCCCCCACCGAGACCTGAGACCCCTCCAAACTGATTCCAGAATCAGACATCCATCCATCCTCTCCTGGTTTTGATTTTTTTTTTTATTCTTTCCAGACACTTCATAAAGCTGGAGACAAGTGCTGGGGGCAGGAATCTAACAATGCCCCCCCCCACACACACACACACCAAGCCAGCCAGAATTGCCCAGCTCCATTTTCAGAGAACAGGATGCAACCATGATTTTAAGAGTGGAGAAACCATCGAGAAATGCACTGAATCGAATGGGTTTTCCGGAGGTTTTCCTTGCTGCCATGCCCGCAGGGGGCATCCAGGGTCCGTTCCCCCTCCGCCACAGCAAAAAGGGGTGGGCGTTGGCTGGGGAGTGATAGATTGCTGTTTAAAATATTACCATATGCCACTTTTGATAATTAGCCGACAGCCCCGGGAGACAGCTCTAACGAGACCTCTCAAGAAATAATTAGCCCAATCCGTGGGCTTCGTAGGCACTCGGCCCTCAAATGTCAAGGCTTCCCGAGCTGTACTTGCAGCCACGGCAGGAGCACCCTGGGGGGGGGGGCCTCTGGAGCAGAAAAGGCCCCTTGGTGCCATTTGCCCTCCCTCCCTCCCTCCCCTCGACAAGCGGGCACCTGTGGCTCACAGGAACGGAGGGAGGCCAAGGCAGGTGAGGGATGCTGCTAGAAACACACCCAGCTTCAGGCTTGGTCGGTCACTTTGAGTCAGAGCATGATGATGACCCATCTCGCTTTATAAACAATACATCAAGATCCTTCACTGTCTCAGCCACCCACGACGGGCACCCCTCTCAGCTCTCCGTTCGGCCCAGTTCTTAATCACAAGCAGACTCTCAAGCGGGTTCTTTTCCTCCAGCCAGACCCGCTGCCCACTTTCCTCCCAATACTGTCCCCTCCCCAAAACGCCACTCTCCTTTCCCACTTGTCCACAAGACTTGTAGCATGGAGGGGCAGTGCATTCAGGCCCCAAATCGGAGTGGGCATCATGGCGGCCCTTTTTCCCCCCCCCCCCCAGGTGCCACCCTGTGTCCTGCATCGTCGCCATCAAGAGAGGGTATTTCAGCAGTTCTATAAAAAGACTTTTAGGTGGGGATCAGGCGCTAGATGAACAGAACATATTCCTGCCCCAGAAAAGCGTGCAACTGAATAATTCCGCCCACCCCCCTTTCAAAATGATCGCACCTTTTTCCTTTTCTGCTTTTCCGAATCACCCCTCAGACCGTGGCCAACGTTTCAGGTTAAAAAAAAAAAAGAAAAGTCCCCACATCAGCAGGACTTGGCCAAGTTACTTTTTGCTAAATACAAGTTGTCGAACATCTGTGTCGCATGTCGGCAGGTCCCGGATAGAACCCCGGATGTTTCCACGTAGGGCTAAACCAGAAGTCCAGCCCTCTTCTGTGGAAACACAGAACCTATCTAAGGGAGGGGAAGACGTGCATTAAAAATGAAATAAAGGGAGTAAAATAAATGAGACCCAAGTGGAGGCAGAATGAGGATGGAATGTGGTCGTTTTTGTTTGTGGGGGAGCCAGGATGGCATGTGAGGATTTGGGGCAGAGCCTAAAGGGGGGCCAGACCAGAAAATGTGGTCCAGCCCTCCTGTTAGGCAGAGTGAGGTTGTCACCTGAAGAAGCCGATGTCAGGTGTCACGGGAGGGCACCGAATAAGTGAAGTTTTAAGCATCTACGCACACTTGATGCTACACTTGATCTTCACCCAAAGGCTAAAAGAATGACCCCCTAAGCCTCTGATTTACTGCATCTTCACTGCCAAGGAGAGGCGTCTGTGGTCTTTTCCATCTCAGGTGCCCAAATTACCTGTTCACTCTTGGGTACGCCGGTTCTGGCCTTGAGAGAGGGGGCCCCCGCTGTTTTCTGTTCCACCTCAGGCCACAAACCAGCCTGCCCCCCCTCCCACCGTGCCACGGACTGACTGGTGAGCAGCTTCAGTGGCAATGGCGTTGGTGGCTGGGAGGACTCACCTGCAGGATGTGGCCGCCTAAATGCTGTTCAAAGAGCTCGGTCAGGAGCGGCGTCCCATTTCTCTGGCCGGAAGCTGTCAAGAAACGAAGAGAGCGATCATCAGAGATGCCCCCATCCTGGGGACCTGATGAGAGAGCAGCCCTCTCCCCACCCCACATCCCAGACCCACGCCTTGGTGCTCCAGGGGTTGGGGGGAAATTAAGCTCCCACTTTCTTCAAGGGAGAAATTGACCTGAAGGAGAGAGAGAGAGAGTTTCAATGCCGGACCCCTCCAATTCGAACCAGCTCATGTTCTCTGACCTCATCTTCATTGTCGGCAGTCGCTTGGACTCCTCGTCCTTGTCAGCAGGAGGAGCAGCGCTTATGAGCATGAACTTATACGAGTGACTCCATGAATGAGCCATTGCCCAAATGTCCTGCCCTGCTCAGCTCTTGCAAACTCAAGCCTGTGGCTTCCTTTAGGGAGCCAGTCCATCTAGCATTGGGCCTTCCTCTTTTCCTGCTGCCTTCCGCCTTTTCCAGCATTCTTGTCTTTTCCGGAAAATCCTGCTTTCTTACGATGGGCCTAAAGAAGAACAGCCTTAGTTTCAGCATTTTTTGACTCCAGAGACTGTTCAGGCTTGATTTGATCCGGGACCCACTTGTTTGTCCTTCTGGCAGCCCAGGGCATCCAGAAAGCTCTCCTTCAGCACCACATTTCAACTGAATCATTGTTGACTTCTCCATGTTCAACTGCAGCCCTGCTTTGGCATTTTCTTCTTTCACTTTCACCAAAAGTCGTTTCACTTCATTGCCACTTTCAGCTAGTAAGATGGAGTCATCTGCATATCTTAAATTACTGATGCTTATTGACCAGTTTTCAATCCTCCTTCATCTGAATCCAGTCTGGCCTTCTATATACTGTATGTTGTGTATACAGACTGAAGAGGTTGGAGGAGAACAACGTTTCAAAGCTCCAGATGGTCTTATCCAGGCAGAGAAAAGGGGCTCTCTACAAGAAACATAGGCTCCAAAAAGCATGGATCCTGCCCAGACTGCTTGATCTCCAGTTTTAGCAACCACAACAAGATGCATTTTCTGCTCCTTAAAAACATTCATTTTCAGTGATCTCTGATTTTTGACTGGGTTGGGGGGGGATTTCATCCTTTGCTCGTGTAGCATGCTGTGGCTCCTGTGGGAGAAGGAGGGAGAATCAAAGGACACAGGACGTGTCATTGTGTTCTACCCATTCCAGGGAGATGGCCCCAGAATACTTATCAGCTCTCCATTCACTGCTCCCTCGCAAAAGCTGAAAAGCTCACAAGACCTCGGCTTAACCTTTCTTTCAGGCCCCTTTGGCTCATTGTGGCTCCTCACGGCCCAGACGTTCCCTGGCTGAGAGGAAGAGGAAGGAGGGGGTCCGGCCGGGTGGAGAGAGAGAAGGGAGGCAGCAAGGCGGGAAGCCCTGGAGAAATTTGCACCAAGGTCGCGGAAGGCTTGCCTCTCTCTCTCTCTCTCATTCTCTTTTTTTAAAAATCTTTCCTTTCTTTTTCAGTAGGGGTGACACACATGTACAGCTCCTGGCTCAAGGCAGCCGAGCGGCACCTCTGCCAAGCCCTCTTTGGGTACCGCCACACGTCCGTTCCTGTGCATGTCGGGGCCATTCAGGGTCAAGGTGAGGATTTTTTTTTTTCTGATCCCCGGGCCAAAATCCTCCAAGCGATTTCTCCAAGTCAGCGAACCTCCTCTGGAATTTAGCTCCGACT